GGGTACCTGGGGGTTCATTCAACTACTCACTTCCCCCCCCCCCAAAAAAAATATTTTGAAAAGCAGAATGACAAAGAAAGAGATCTTCCATGTGCTGGTTCACTCCCAAAATGCCTACAACATGCAGGGTTGGGCCAAGCCAAAGCCTAGACCCAGAAACTGCTTCCAGGTCTCTCACACGAATGGTAGTGGCCCAAGTACTTGAGCCACTGTCTGCAGCTTCTAAGGTGCACTAGCAGGGAGCTGGATGGAAGTGAGGTAGCCAGGACTACAGCCAGTGCTCCAATGTGGGATGCCACAGATGGTGGCTTAACCTGCTGCACTACAGTTCTATCCCTGAGTTTCTTTAATCTTCAGATAAATTACAGTTCGGCATTTTAAAACTAAAGCCCCATCTGTAGGAGTGCTTTTAACGCTGTAGAGACTGAAAGAATCATGGAACTTTCACCCATGATTTATGAGACTTTGAAAGACAGTCGTGATCCGTGGCAGCCGGCACAGGCTCCCAGTTTCCCTACATTGGCACATACCAAATAAGTAAGCATCTTGCATTCTAACTTCAAGTTTAAAAAGCTGTACGGTGAGCATTTGGCCTAGTGGTTAAGATACCAGTTGCAGGGGCCGGCGCTGTGGCTCAACAGGCTAACGCCCTGCCCTGAAGTGCTGGCATCCCATATGGGCGCCGGTTCGAGACCCGGCTGCTCCACTTGCGATCCAGCTCTCTGCTATGGCCTGAGAAAGCAGTAGAAAAAGTCTTTGGGCCCCTGCACCTGCATGGGAGAACCGGAAGAAGCTCCTGGCTCCTGGCTTCGGATCAGCGCAGCTCCAGCCATTGCAGCCAACTGGGGAGTGAACCAGCAGATAGAAGACCTCTCTCTGCCTCTCCTCTCTGTGTACTCCGACTTTCAAATAAATAAATAAATCTTTTTTTTTTTTTTTTTGACAGGCAGAGTGGACAGTGAGAGAGAGAGACAGAGAGAAAGGTCTTCCTTTTTGCCGTTGGGTCACCCTCCAATGGCCGCTGCCGCCGGTGCGCTGCAGCCAGCGCACCACGCTGATCTGAAGCCAGGAGCCAGGTACTTCTCCTGGTCTCCCATGGGGTGCAGGGCCCAAGGACTTGGGCCATCATCCACTGCACTCCCGGGCCACAGCAGAGAGCTGGCCTGGAAGAGGAGCAATCGGGGCAGAATCCGGCGCCCCGACTGGGACTAGAACCCGGTGTGCCGGCGCCGCAAGGCGGAGGATTAGCCTAGTGAGCTACGGCGCCGGCCAGAATGCCTGATTTTCAGTCCTGCCTCCACCTTCAATCCAGCTTCTTGCTATTGCACACCCTGGGAAGCAGAAGGGATGGCTCAACTGACTGGGCCCGCCACCCATGTGGAAGACTGGAATTAAGTTCAGCTCCTGGCTTTGGCCTGGGTCAGGCCTCAGCTGCTGCAGGCATTTGGAGAGTGATCTAGCAGATGGAAGATCTCTTTGGGGCTGTGTGTCTCCCTCCATTCCAAATAAACGAAAGTGAACTTTGGGCCACAGCAGGTTGAGCTGCCACTCGTGACACCAGCATCCCATCTCAGAGTACTGGTTGGAGTCCCAGCTATTCTATTTCTGATCCAGCTCCCTGCTAATGTACCTGGGAAAGCAGCAGACAATGACCTAAGTACTTGGGCCCCTGCTGCTCACAGGGGAGACCTGGATGGAGGTCCTGGCTATTGTGGGCATTTGGGGAGTGAACTAGTAGACAGAAGATCTCTCTCTCATGCTTTATCTGAAAACAGTTTAAGATTGTTTTTTATTTAAAAGGTAAAGTGTGATAATCCATGACCAAACATAACAATATCTTCAAGAGTTTATAATGTGTGAAGATATATCTACAATTAATAAAGAATGGAGGAGAACATTGAGGAATCTATGTGGTCCTATTTTCTATGCAGTGGTACAGCATTAAGTTGAAGTAACATAAGCAAAGTTACTGTGCAATATATATGTGCAGTAACAACCAAGAAAATAATGCAGTGAAGATAACTTTTTGAAAAATCTGATTTTTTAAAAGACAGTAAAGAACAAACAGGGGAGCCAAAAACCAAGTAGGATACCTGAGTAACAAATAACAAAATGGTAAACCCAAACTTCACCACATCAGTAATTACATTTCACGCAAGTGAACAATCCAGTTAAAATGCAGAAATTGGGCCGGCGCCGCAGCTCACTAGGCTAATCCTCCGCCTGCAGCGCCAGCACTCCAGGTTCTAGTCCCAGTTGCTCCTTTTCCAGTCCAGCTCTCTGCTGTGGCCTGGGAGTGCAGTGGAGGATGGCCCAAGTGTTGGGCCCTGCACCCACATGGGAGACCAGGAGGAAGCACCTGGCTCCTGGCTTTGGATCGGCACAGCGCGCCTGCCATGGCAGCCATTTAGGGGGTGAACCAACAAAAGGAAGACCTTTCTCTCTGTCTAGATCTGCCTGTCAAAAAAAAAAAAAAAAAATTGTTGGAATGCATGGAAAGGCCAGACTCAAGTGGGTGTTGTATGATAGCCTGAAGATGTGTCTTTGGCCCTCGTCGCTGGGCAGGACTTGGTTACTCACTTCTAAACAGACAAGGCTGGGAGCCTTCATAGATGAGGCCATAACAGGATGCTTTTCCTCTACCTGGTTCTTCCTGGATTGCTACCAGGAAAGCCACCCATCCTGCTGTGTAGACGCTCCGGACACCATCTGGAGAGGCTGCTGGGGACGAGCACTGAGGCCTCGCCTCAGCAGCCACCTCCAGTTTGCCAGTCGGTGAAGAAGCCACGTTCGCCAAGGGCACTCTTCAGCCACGCCTTGAGTTGACTGTAGCCCGACCAACATCTTGATCGCAACCTCATGAAAGAGACCAAGCCAGAAATTCCTGACCCACACGAAATGTGACGTAGAATGTTAAGTCCCTGGGTTTTGGAGCATTTTGTAATGCAACAACAGGTGAGTAATGCATGCATCTACAGGAGGCAGACCTCACAAACAAAGACCAGGTTGAAAGTCAGTAGTTGGAAATGGGTACACCGTGCCAGCAGTAAACTCAAGAATCCTGCAGTAGGCAGAGATCTTGAACACACATTTTATCAAAGAAGATAAACCGAGTGTGTGAAAAGACGCTCGGCTTCACTAGTTGTGAAGGCAGGGCAAAGTACAACCACAGTGCAGCGCCACTGCACACCTAGTTGTCGCGAGTTAAAGTACTGGTGAGGGTGCCGAGCTGCCGGGGAGGTACACTGGTACAGTTGATGCTGAAGACAGTCTGGCCATGTCTTCAAGTTAGACATACACCTTTGAGCCATTCCTTCCACTCCGAACTGTTTACCAAGAGAACAGGAAACACCTCAAAATTCAAATGTCCATCCACAAATGAATGAATCAGCTGTGGTGTTTCCATACACTGGAAGACAACTCAGTGGTAAAAAGGATAGAGCACTGCTAAGGTGTACACTGTAACATGAATAGATCTCAGAATAGTTAGGTTGAGTGAGAGACGCCAGTTCCCTTCCTCCCCCCAAAGGACACACCCTGTATGGACTCCATTTACATCAAACTAATCCACAGTGAAAGACGTCGGAGGAGTGGATCTCGTGGGGATGAGCAAGTATAGACAGGCACTGGAGGTGATGGATACGGTTGGTATCTTGACTTTTGGTGCTGGTTTCATGGGAGAATGCCTGTGTCAGAACATACCAAATGGTATGCCTATCAAGTACAGCTTTTTGTGTGTCAGGTAAATCTCCATAAATCTGAAGAAATGCATACAGTTTGATCATCTTTACACATGCACACCTAGCTTCTGAACCAAAGTGATCTCCATGTTTTCCTAATTGTCAAGTGATAGACCAGATGTGCCACAGCCCTTAGTGCTCCCGTCGTGTGATACCTCGTGGCTATGTGAAAGAAAGCTGATGGCTGTCTCCTTCCTTGCAGATTTCCCACGCCCACAGTCAGCAGATGGACGACCTCTTTGAGATCCTCATTAAAAGTGGAGGTAGGTCTAAAGGCATGCAGACGCCCAGAGGAAGCTGTCTCCCCACGCAGGTCCCCAAGCCCTTCCCTGGACCCTGAGAAACCCAGTCTCTTCATTCTGACGAAGCTGACTGCTCTGAAATCTCTTAGATGTAGGCCATTAAAACACCTACAGTAAACGGAGGAAAAGCCATTGATCCTGTTGAAGACGGGAACTTGACATTTTGTTTATCTGTAGGTATCTGACTACTGAAACCAAAGACCACCAAATGGCAAAGTAGAGCCAGATTTCAGTTCCATGTTGAACACTTGAAAGCATGTCCCCTGTGTACCGTCGTCGTGACAGGATGAAGACGTTCCAGTCCCGCCGTAACTGTTGGCAGCCAGCTGCCCAAGCCTGGGCTCCGGGGGGCAGTGCTGGAGCACTCTCTGTATATAAGATAAAAAGAGATTCTTACATTACAAAAAAGTCACGGACATCTCTGCCTCAGCTTACAAATGTCTTTAAAAAAAGTTTAAAACCGGTATTTTCAAAAAAATTCAAATGCTGTCTAGGAATATTTTTAAGTATTTTTAAATTACCCCTATGAAATTGGACTTAAAATTTCTCCATTCAGAGCAAGTACTATTTTAGATTGAAGTTGATGCTCTGGTGATAATGTTTGGCCTAATGTAGAGAAATCTTGATATTTGACTATTTAATATATGTGCAAAATTATTTTTTTTCTTAGAACCATACTGGCCTTGCAAAGTTATTTAAATCTATTGTATAAACTACAGAAATTTTAAAAATTGACGTTTCCATGCCTTGACTTTTTTGAATCCTAAAGTTTCTACCAAATCTGGTAAAGATCAGATGTTTTTCCTTAAGTATTTATTTACTTGGAAGGCAGGGAAAGAAAGAGAGCAAGAGAGTGCTTCTGCTGGTTCACTCTCCAAACAGCTGCAGCAGCCAAGGCTGTGCCAGGCCATCGCCAGGAGCCTGAAGGGATGCCAGCATCTCAGGCAGCAGCTTAGTCCACTGTGCTACAACGCCAGCCCCAAAGATCAGATTTTACGTGATTAGTAAGAATTATTTTTATAGCCTACACTTGGAGATTAAAATACAACTTTTAGTAACTCCTAAAAGGTACAATTTGCTTATGACAAAATAACCAGTAAGTGTATTATTTCACCGTTTTGTATAGCTGTAGCAGTAATAATGAGAACCAACATTGAAATTCTTCATTTAAGGACTAGCTAACTGATAGTGCATTTAAGGCTTTCAGAACAATTTCAGAGATGACTACAGGTAATAAAAAGTGAACTCTCTTAAACCACATGCAGTCCATACGGTGAATTCGTTCACAGGCATCTGACTGTACCTCCTTGCCCGTCCTAACCTTTGAGCTTTAGGAGCTGTCTCTACCATCCCTGATGTGCCTGCTTAGCAAGGAAACCAGCCGTATCCTCATGCCCGGAAAACGGAAACTTTGTTCTGTTTTGCCTGAGGGAACACTGGAGCCTGGAGCAGACGATCCACTGAGTTGCTTTCTGACAAAGAATAGCACGTAATCGGAACTTATTAAGATGTTTGCCAGATTTACAAGGTTTCAGTTAAGCTCAGGAAACAAGCCCAAAAAGTAACAGAAATAAGCATGTGTGTTAACCTCATCTTTAAAAAAAAGGAGCCCTGTGTTAGCTTTAATTCCAACATAAGATGGCACTCTATTTTTCTGAACTTTATAATGTATATAGCTCTCCTGCGCACACAGTTCCAACTCGTTACAAAAGTAGATCTTTCCTAACCTCGAGGCTGTACTTCATTTCACATTGGTTTTAAGGATGTCATGCTTCCGTAATTGCAGAATCATAGTGTAGGGTAAGACCCGGGTCCCATCTTGAAGCCCTGAATGACTGAGAACAAGGACCCAAAGGTCAGGTAGCCTAAACCATAGATCCCTGTCTGAGGGGATATAGGTGCTCTTCCTGTGCTTAATTAAAAAAAAAAAAAAACTGAAAGCTTACCAGAATATAACAACTTCACCTGTTTAACGAACATCTCCCTAAAGATTGTCAAGGACTGTCCCGGACCAGGAGCATTCCAGTAGCAAAAATACCTATTAACCAAAGGGTTTCAAAATTAATTATTAATCTAGTCATTGCTTCAATTATTTTACAGAGATTTCTCTGCCTATAAAAGAGGAGCCCTCTCCTATTTCCAAAATGAGACCAGTGACAGCCAGCATCACCACAATGCCCATCAACACCGTGGTGTCCCGGCCGCCGCCCCAGGTCCAGATGGCACCCCCTGTCTCCTTGGAGCCCCTGAGCAGTTTATCTGCCAGCCTAGAGAACCAACTAGAAGCTTTCCTGGATGGAACGTTACCTTCAGCCAATGAAATTGCTTCTCTGCAGAGCAGCAGCGAAGACAGAGAGTCCTTCTCTCTGATCGAGGATCTCCACACTGACTTGCTGGAGCACTCGCACTCGCCCATGGAGACTTCCGAGGCCCAGTTCGCAGCAGGCACCCCCTGCCTGTCCCTGGACCTCTCGGACTCAAACCTGGACAACATGGAGTGGTTGGACATCACCATGCCCAGCACGTCGTCGGGGCTCACTCCGCTCAGCGCCACGGCACCAAGCATGTTCTCCGCTGACTTCCTCGACCCCCAGGACCTCCCGCTGCCATGGGACTAGTGCCGCAGGGTTCTCGTCTCGGGGGCCGTGAGGTTTTAGAATACAAAGAAGAGTCTGGAAGGTCAGTTTCTAGAGGTAGATCCATAGTTGCATTATTGCAATTGAAACACATTGTCATGGACAGAAGACAGAAGGTTCTAAGCCTGGAACCCAAGTTTGGAAACCTTTCATTGCGCCTGGCAGTGAATTTCTGCAGCTTAGCATAGCACGGGGCCTTCTGAAGTGTACACTAGTCAAAGAGGACTTGTCTCAGTGCAGCGGCAAGAGTACCTTTAAGTCAAAACACAGATGAGAATCACACACGGGAAATGACACTAGGATTCTCTGGTTACCAACTACATTTAAACCTCTGTGGTCACTTTACGACTCTAAATAAAGGCAGATGACTACACTCAAAACCCAGGCCAGTCAGTGTGAGGGCGGTGAGCGGTACTGCAGGTTGTACTTCTGGGGACGGCGCAAGCCAGGCCAAGACAGCAGGGCTCAGAGGCAGTGCAGGGCCCTGGCCAGTTCAGTGACGGCTTCTAGCTGAAGACTTTTGGTTCATCCAGAAACCTATGTAATTTTTGTGTGTTGTAGTTTATTTTGTGATTTTTGGAATCTCACTTTAGATTTCTAAATTTAAACTTAAGTGGGCGCTCTTTCGTTGTAACCAGGAGATGTCTACAACACCCTGTCAGAAGCAATCCACTGTACAAAGTCCAGGTGTACTGAAAATCCTAGCTGCAGCCCTCCAGGGCGGGCTCACTGGTTTCGCCCCGTGTGTCAGACGTGTGTGTGTCTACTCTGACGTGGTGACTTGTGCAGCCGACAGTAGGGTAAGGAAATGGGTATCCAGTGGTCCTGCTTCTTGTGATAACTCGAACGTCTCTCGAGTACCTGAGCCACATGTATTTGTGTTAAGAATCTCTGACTTTCAGGTAACCAGAGCCATCTCAAAGAACCAAGGCAAGGCTTTAGCATGAGCGAGCTTTCTGAGCTGGTGTGTTAAAGAGGGGACGGTCCCTCTGCAGCCGAGGACAGCCTGGCCGGCCTTCCCTGCCTCGTGTCCATGGTCATCACTTCATAGGCTTCTAACTGGACATCACGATCCTTTCAAGCCGAAGATTAGAAAACTGGAGGTTTTACTTTTTTTATATATAGAAAAAAAGTCACTACGTACTTGTTGAGTAGCTTAAGAATTTCCTAAAATGCCAACTCTCAGAGCATTTCCAAAATTATTTTAGTCATTTAAAAATGGTAAAATGTAAATATCTGAACAAAAAACTGAACTCTAGCAAAAGAATGTGGAGATGTTGATCCTGTCACAGAACCGTGCACTCCTCACCAGGAAATGGCCCCCTCCCCGGTGTATGCAGGAGGCTGCCTGGCCCGCTACTCAGAAAGAACGTGGGAATGACTTTGGGTCAGTGTTCTAAGCGCGGATCTCGTTTCTGGAGTTTATTCGGTTGGGGTTCGTTCGCACGGTTCACTCTACGTGGAGATGCGCTTTCCCGGCACAAGCACACGGGAGCCCAGTGGGTGCAGAGGCCCCCGTGCCCCGTGCACTCTGGTGGACAGCTTACATGTGTAGCAGAGGGTGACGCGATGTGCAGGGTACAGAAACCATCTCCTCACCTGGGCAGGCACCTTCCTCAGGGGGGCTCTTGGCTGTGGTTTGTTGCCAAGGCATTTGGCTGGAGTTTGTCAGCTGCATCCTTAGTCCCTGAGCATCTTCATTCAGATGTGGATGGCTTACTAAAGTAGCACCAAATGTCAGTGGGACGGTAGGAGGCCAGGGACACCCAGAGCCATTCCCTCCCGCGAGGAGCTCTGTGTCCACGATCCTGACCTGCGTACGGCATTGCCTTTCTAGTCCTCGGGCCCCTTTATTGCATCTTCAGATAGGATTTGGAACATGCCACGGGAAGGCTGCTCTCCAAAAACACAGCCCAGTGCAGGGAACGCTCCGTGCCGACAGTGACTTCTCAGGAGCCCACTTCACATAGGCGTGGGGATGCTGCGTGGATCAGAAGGCATGTCTCAAGAGAGCCAGGGCTCTAGCTATTACGCTATCAGCCATTCCGCTTGCCCTGTTCGCCCGGCCACCCTCTCCCGGCTGTCCTGCCGTCTCAGCCACGTGTTCCTGGTTGCCATGTGCACTTGACAAGACCAAAGACCAGTCTGCAAACAAGGCCCTTGACCTGAGCCTGCGTGCCTGGCACAGGCGCCCTGAGGTTCCGCGGGTCTGGGAAAGACAGTTCCATGTTGTTGTTAAAGGTCCGTTTCACAGCCATGAAAGCACAGGGCAAAGCAGCCGGCACAGGGGTCCTGCTGTACATCACATTACCAAGAGAGTAACTCCTGGAGACAGGTCATCTCACATCCCATTGTGCTCGCTACGATCAGCGTCTCCTCTGCTGGGAGCAGGGGGAGTGTGCAGTCTTAGCAAAGCTTCCACCAAGTCTGGGGCAGCCTAGGGGGTGTGGCCATCTTGTAATATCCGCGAAGCATGGGTTAGAAACCTCTTAGAGCAAAACTAGTGGTCAAGTCCCCTGACGCTGCAGCCCACTGTGTAGTGCTGCCACGTGTCTGTGCGCAGGTGTGTTCTGAACATGTGGGATTTCTCCCTGAGATGCTGTTTGTACTTGCTTCATAGGAATATTTTTGAGATCTTGAAGAGATCTTCTTTAATTGCCTTTTTACAAACCGTCAAACCGTGCTCCAGGGACAGACATACACTGATTTGTCAGGGCTGTCGAGGAGCAGTGGCTCCAAGCTGCTGCCTGTGGAGGCAGGGCCACGGGGAGACGACGGCGCCCTGCTGTACTGGCAGCCAGTTAGCCATCCCGTCACCACAGCCGCGCTGCCCCCCAGCCCAGAGCGTGCGTGCAGACGAGCCATAGCCGCTGGCCACCAGCTGTCCCCACACGCACTGGCGTGGTCCCTGAGAGAAGTGGGGCGCCCTGGGCAGGGAGGCGCCCATCTCAGTGTCTGTCCTCGGGCCCTGGGCATTCCCCTGACCCCCACCAGCTTGCCCAGGCGGGGAGTGCGGGGCACTGCCAGGGACTTCTTAGAGAACGGTGAAGAACAGCTGTTCAGTGTGTCGGCAGAGCCACACGGCACACTTTAACCAGGTTCACAAACAACTCTGTTGCCAGCCGAGTGCTGGCAACAGAGATCACCAAATACCAATTGTCCCGTGCCCTGGAAGCCACAAAATTAGTCCAGACTTGTCACCATTAACTGGAAGGCCAGGCTGATGGAGGAGCATCGCTTGTGAGTGCATCGGTGTGCATCTGGAGAGCGCCCTGACTGCGTCCCCACTCACCCCCACGAGACTGCAGTCAACTGGAAAGTAACCACTGAGGCGCGGCACTCTTTCCCCAGGCCCCTTCCCCAGTCCCCCGGGGCTGCACTCCTGTGGGCCAGGGACTCTGCCCAGTGCCGCGCAGGCCGGCGCAGTCCCGCTCACCTGCCTCGCAGCGTCTGAGGAGACGCAGCACTGCAAAAGGTTCTGTCCACACTCTGGTGTCAGGTGTGCAATTCAGAAAGCTGCACGTTTACAGAAGAGCTCTCACCTACACACACACACACACACACACACACACACACACACCCCGCTCTGTGAATCATGATGGGAAAATGTCACAGATCCACAGGTGCTGTCTGGAATTGAGTGAAATACGTAATTGGAGACGTTGACACAGCTACCATGTGTAACAGAGCTTGGTGCCAACTACTAGGACGAAGCTTTAACCAAGACCGTAGAAATCACCAGAACCCCTAACGATTACCTCTCTGCATTCTGCTGTACGGAATCTTGCTAACTGGTAGGAAGAGGAAGCATTTAGGAAAGGGTTTAGTCTACCAAAAGTACTTGACCTCGAGTAACCAAGAGGAATGCAAATGTTTCAAAGGAACCAAAGGCATTGCCAAGTATTTGCCAAAAGGAGGCACTTTTTATTTAAAATTTGAGACTAATGAGATCTCAAAAACCAGTCCCAAAAAGGTATTATACATTTAAGGTTATAATTTTCACAGAGATGTAGATATTTCTCTATCGTCTTCATGTAAAATAGTAGAGAGCTGTTTTAAGAATACATATCTAGTAGTAATACAAGGTTTTTTTCCTTTCCATGTAGAAATTAGTTTTCTTGCTTGCAATAGAAATGCAACGTGATAGGTGTTTCTCTTCTTATTTTCATTGTCACATTATGTCTTAGCATCTCACTCTATGAAAAAAAGAAGAAAGATACCAATCCACGGAGCCCTGCTTGTTGAAGCAACAAGAAACGATGGCAGTTGGGGGTCCATTTGTTATTGCCTTTGTGTTGTTTTTAAGAAAACCATGATGCCTTCGTCCCTGCTGTCTGCACCCCTGACCTCGAGTCCGCATCATGGCCGGGTGCCATACGTGTTGCACGTGCACTGTACGTAGGTGGCACACGCGTGTCCTGTGTGTGTGCGCATCCCTCGTTACATCTCTGTACATAGCGGCAGGATCGTAGCTGATCGGGAAACGTTTGATATCTCGGCAATTTTGCATTTTTGTGTCTCAAATAAAAGACATTTTGATGTACTGCGATTCTTGCTGTGCAGGGGAAAGACGGCAGCCCCGGGTCATTAGAGCCGACACAGACCTGGCATACGGGGCGCGTCTGGGAAGGGACTCCAGCCAAGTTGACTGGCAAAGCAAGAGGACTTTGGTCTTCACTGTGTTTACAAACCTATTGATTATTCTGTTTAATCGAAAGGCAAAGAGCCTGACAGACACGGAGAGGGAGTTCCCCCGTCTGCTGGTTGATTCCCCTAAGGCCCTCAATAGCCAGGAGCCCAGATCTCAATCCAGGTCTCCCACATGGGCGGCAGGGACCTAGGTGTTGGAGCCAGTTGGGCCAGGGTTGTGGCACAGCGAGTTAAGCTGCCACCTGTGACTTGCATCCCGTATGAGCACCGGCTCGAATCCCACTGCTCTACTGCCAGCCCAGCTCCCTGCTGATGCACCTGGGAGAGCACTGGGAGACGGCCCACGTGCGTGGGCCCCTGCACCCACTTGGGAAACTCAGATGGAGCTCCTGGCTTTGGCCTGGCCCAGCCCTGGCCATCGCAGCTGTTTGGGGAGTAACGCAGCTGATGAAAAATCCATCGATCTCTGTGTATGTGTCTTCCCTGTTCTGTAACTGCCTTTCAAATAAATTAAAAAAAAAAAAAAATGGTAGAGCCAGGACAGGAACCCAGGAACTCTGATATGGGGTGTGGGTACCCCTTGTGCTCCTTAACCCCTGCCCCAAATGCCCAGCCTTCAAGGCAGGTCTTGCAGTCACACACACAGCGGCCCCCCATTCCAGGCCGGGAGCCTGAGGTACAGCACAGGCTCTCCTGGGTTGTGGCTGCATTGGCATGTCCACATCACCACCGACCTCATGTCTACACTCGTAAGGAAACACTGGCGAAGGGTACTGAGGTACAGGGTGGACACCACACACACACACACACACACACACTCTCTCTCTTTCTCTCTCTCTGAGTTTCTGAAAGGCCCAATAATCCTCCGGTTTAGCCGAGTTTCAAAAGCAAGCGTTACGCCCAGTGCCCTTTCAGCCCACCCCAGAAGTGGCCTTTGCAAGTCCCGTCCTTGTAGGAAGCTCCTACTTCACTTGAGCCCCAAACATCTGAGAGCTGTGTATTTGCTCTATGCTTTGAACAAACAAAATGGCCCTAAGTCAATGGGACTGACAGCTATCACTTTAATTTTTTTCTTTATTTGAGAGAGAACTCTCATGTGGTAGTTCACCACCCCAGTGCCCACAAGGGGCAGAAATGGAACCAGGAACTCCACCCAGGCCTCCCGTGTACGCGGCAGGAACTCTGGCTTGAGCTGTCACTGCTGTCTCCCAGCACCTGCGTTAGCTGGAAGTTGGACCCAGGAGCCAGAGCCCGGACTCGAACCCAAGCACTCAGATAGGAGCTGCAGGCATCTTCACCACTAGGCTTTTCCCTCCGCCTCAGATGAGCAAACGGGCGGAGGACCAACCACAGAGGGGAGAGGGCCAGTCTGGGGGCCTACGTGCAGCCAAGCCTTTCTATCCTACACCTAGGGAGCGGGAGGGCGGCCCCAGAGCAGGAAACCAGGGACGCTTTCAAAGTGGTGCCAGAGTGCAGGGCACCAGACGCGGCCCTCGGCGAGACACGCACAGTCGCTGCTCACTGGCAAGGGGTCGGCGTGTGGGTGCAGAACCAGGAAGCAGGTACCAGGAGAAACCCCGGGCTCTGGCCTCTGGCACAAAGGCTGCAGAACCTTCCAAGGGCAGTTCCGCTGCCTCTGGGGAGCTGTGCATGCGCTCAGCACCGTCCTGACTCCAAGGCGCATACCACGGATCGGTGAGCCAGACTCTGCACCCTCGGCAGGCAGCGGGAGCGAAGGAGCAGGGCGGGAGCTCACGCACGGAAACCTGGAGAGGAGCCGCTGGAGGTCCGGGCCCAGTCCCCTGGCTGTCCCTCAACCTGACAGAGCCTGCGTGCCTTCTCGCCTTTTTTAAAGATTTGAGAGGGGCCGCTAGGTGGAGGATTAGCCTAGTGAGCCGCGGCGCCGGCACACTGGGTTCTAGTCCCGGTCAGGGCGCCGGATTCTGTCCCGGTTGCCCCTCTTCCAGGCCAGCTCTCTGCTGTGGCCAGGGAGTGCAGTGGAGGATGGCCCAAGTCCTTGGGCCCTGCACCCCATGGGAGACCAGGAGAAGCACCTGGCTCCTGCCATCGGATCAGCGCGGTGCGCCGGCCACGGCGGCCAATGGCAAAGGAAGACCTTTCTTTCTCTGACTCTATCCATTCTGCCTGTCCAAAATAAATAAATAAATAAATAAATAAAGATTTGAGAGGAAGAGTTACAGAGAGGTCTTCCATCTGCTGGTTCACACCCCAGATGGCCACAACGTCTGGGCTGATTCAAAGCCAGGAGCCAGGAGCTTCTTCCAGGTCTCCCACATGGGTGCAGGGGCCCAAGCACTTGGACCATCTTCTTACTGCTTTCCCAGGCCACAGCAGAGAGCTGGATCAGAAGAGGAGCAGCCGAGACTCTAGGCCACAGCACCAGCCCTGCCTTCTCTTTATGATTGACCTGAAATCTGGCTTCCAGCCATCTCTAGGTATCCTCTGGCTGGTTTGTAGCACGAGCTGGTGGCAGGGAGCTCACGCCATGCGTTCAGACAAAGGATGCGCGCCCATGGGCTACATACCCCTCTTGTCGGGCACGATGGTATCCCGGAGTGTTCTGGCGGGAATCACGCGGGTGCATGGCAGCGACAGCTGCACCAGGAGCAGCTGCCACACCAGCCACCTGCCCACAGCCCCCGGAACAAAGGCTCCGGGAGGAGGGGCTTCTGCTCAGGCTCACGGTCAAGAGTTCATGGCGTTTTCTCCCAGACCGAACATACCAGGGGACTTACAAAACGATTGTGGAAGATGGGATTAAAAAATTCTATTTTAGTCCAAAAATAAAAATTCCATGCTTGGGGGCATGGGTTGGGGCGCAGTGGATTATACCAACACTTGGGATGCCCGCATCAGAACCCGCACCAGTTCCTGCCCCGGCTGCTCCACTTCCTGTCCAGCTCTCTGCTAATGCGCCTGGGTCCCTGCTACCCACGTGGGAGACACAGAGGGAGCTCTGGGCTCCTGGCTTCGGCCTGGCCCAGCCCTGCCTGTTGGCAGGCATTCGGAGAGTAAACCAGTGGACAAAGGATCTCTACTCTCTCTCTCCCCCACCTCCCTCCCTCTCCCTCTCCCCCAACGCCCCACCACTCTGCCTTTCAAGTAGATGAAAAATAAACATTGTTTAAAGATTCATGCATTAGTTTTTTTTATATGTTTTTCCTGAACTTTTTGAAGACCCTTTAGGTACGTGGATTTCACAATGTTTTTGCACCAAAATAAGTTTTAAATTCCACCAGCTTCTTGGAGTACCCTCATCTAGGCCTTTTTGGTTTTAGAAATTTCTTACTTATCGGAGAGGCAAAGAGCACGCTCCCATCTACAAGTTCAGCCCAAAGCCAGGAGCCAGAACCCTCAGGGTCGTGCAGGCGAGGGCCACCAACAGGTTGAGTTGTCCCCACACCTACAGCCCAGCCACAGCAGGCAGAATCACGGGCGAACCCCGTCCACACGGAGCTCCTAGACAAAGTGTGCTTATCCTGGTTTTGTCGCGAGACTTCTCGTTGAAACAAGGAGCCTTATTTTTTTTCCACTTAAATTCTGTCTGTTCTAGCCGGCGCCGCGGCTCACTAGGCTAATCCTCCGCCTTGCGGTGCCGGCACACCGGGTTCTAGTCCCGGTCGGGGCGCCGGATTCTGTCCCGGTTGCCCCTCTTCCAGGCCAGCTCTCTGCTGTGGCCCAGGAGTGCAGTGGAGGATGGCCCAAGTCCTTGGGCCCTGCACCCCATGGGAGACCAGGAGAAGCACCTGGCTCCTGCCATCGGATCAGCGCGGTGCGCTGGCTGCAGCGCACTGGCTGCGGTGGCCTTTGGAGGGTGAACCAAAGGCAAAGGAAGACCTTTGTGTCTCTCTCTCTCTCTCTCTCTCTCTCTCTCTCACTGTCTACTCTGCCTGTCAAGAATAAATAAATAAATTAATCAATTAAATTAAATTGTCTGTTCAGCAACCTGGGAGTTGACCGGGACATCAAATTTGCTAGAATACAGAAGCTAGTTTCGAGAAATCCCGCAAGTGCTTTACCAAGTGTCCCCGGGCCCTTCTCTCAGCCTTGCCAGTCGGTGCTGACCAACAAGGGTGTGGATGCAGACAGAACAGAGCAGCAAGCCCCGCGCCCATGCTGCGGGTCCCCTCATTTCATCCTAAGTCGAGGGGGTGGGGACTCTCTCTCTGCCCATTTTACAGACAGGACAACTGAGGACCGAGAGGGTAAATGACTCTCCTAGAATCATGAGAGAAACAGCATGGATTTGAGACCAACCTTCTGAATCCCCAGAAGCCAGCCCCTTTGGCTTAGTCTGGGCTATGACAAGACACTGCAGACTGGGCAATTCAAAGCCACTCGCAGTTCTAGAAGCTGGAACGGCCAAAGTCAAGGCAGCAGCGGATTCAGTGTCCGGTGAGGACCTCAAGTCCTTGCGCGCAGGGCAGGGCCAGGCCATGCCCCCTGGCGGGACGGACAGAGGCTGACAGGTCCTCCCAGTCCCCGCAGGAGGCCACCAGCCCTTTGTCCCTTCTAAGGGCCTGATGCTGGGGCTCAAGTTGCCACACGAGTTCTGGAGCCGCACGAACATGCATAGTGTGGCACCATTTGTGTGCCCTGGGCGCCTATACTTCCTGCTCTGGTTCAGATACTTGGCCAAGACCCCTGACTGGGGCCAGCACTGTGGCACAGTGGGTCAACTCCCCGCCTGCAACGCCGGCATCCCATATGGGTGCCAGTTTGAGTCCCGGCTGCTCCACCTCAGATATACCTCCCTGCTAATGTGCCTGGGAAAGCAGCAGAAGGTGGCCCAAGTGCTTGGGCCCCTGCACCCACATGGGCAACTCAGATGAAGCTCCTGGCTTCAGCCTGGCCCTGCCCTGGCCGTTGTGG